AGTGGTCTAATGGGCACCAGCACCGATGGTGATGCGTTGAATTCTCAACTTTATCCAAACCTGAACCTGGAATTGACAAGCAACACGTCCTTTATCACTCCGCAACCCGTACAATATTCACAGACAAGCACCAACGACGCTTATTCATCGATCAATGTGCCCAATGAGGGAACAAGTAAAGAAATTTCACAAAACCTTGATTGGATTACCGAAGCAGAGTCCAATACGCACAACATCAACTTCGGTATGCCCGTTGAACAGTCATTCCTACCACCCGCCAGTGTTCCTTCAACAGCTTCAGTATCCACGCCGCCGTTCATCATATCCACTCCACCCACAGATGAGAATCCAAGTGTCCAATACCCAAATTTCAACTTCAACCAACAACAGGTTGTTGGAGATCAATCAAACTTCCTACAGCCCAACTTTCAAGGCTCACAATTCGAGCAGCTGCGGCAGCTGAGTAATACTGGTTCGCTGAGTGACCTATCCAGTGTTGACGGTGGCTCGCCATATCTTAGCGCGTATTCTGGCTCAAACTATGGAGGTGATGATGTCCATTCAAATGTGCTGCTGGAAGACCTTAACGGCGACTCAACAGAGCAAAACCCACAGATAGACTTCTTAAGCTTGCAGTTGGATTCGTTGAGTCAGAACGGTGTGTTACCAGTTACGCCTGTGACCATATCCGTCGACGAGGCACCTGAAGATGTTGCTGAGAGAACACCATCTCTTTTCTCGTCGAATGCATCATCTCGCAACAACTCGCCTAACCACTCCCGTAGTGGGTCGATGCACTCTACGACTATTAAATCTGGTCATTTTTCCGATTTACTTTCACCAGATATGGGCGAAAGCTACAACAATAGCCACGGTGGATCCAACAGCAGTGACAACGGGAGTGTTAGCGGAGAGAATGAGCTGTTGAGACCAGATTCACATCAGGAAATGCGAGCAGGACGTCAACGTCGGCACTCAACATCACGTTCCAACTCACGGTCAGTTTCAAGGGAACGTTCACCTTCGGTTAACCGTGAAAAGATGTTGGAGTTAGCATC